TTTTCTCTCTCTCTTTATCATGATGTACCAAGAGGATAGTTGAAATGATTGATGAGGATTATTTTATTATTTTCGTTTTTTATTATTTTGGTTGTTTGTTTTGGGAGGTTGTTAAAGTTACGGGTTGATTGTTAAGGTTACGGGTTGGTTGTTAAGGTTAAGGGTTTGTTGTTAAGGTTATGAATCCTCTCTCTCTCTCTCTTTCTTTTTTTATTAAAATATGATGGGGATTATTTTATTATTTTTGTTTTCTCTCTCTCTTTATCATGATGTACCAAGAGGATAGTTGAAATGATTGATGATGATTATTTTATTATTTTTATTTTTTATTATTTTGGTTGTTTGTATTGGGAGGTTGTTAAAGTTACGGGTTGATTGTTAAGGTTACGGGTTGGTTGTTAAGGTTAAGGGTTTGTTGTTAAGGTTGTGGATTTATTGTGTAGGTTACGGATTTGTTGTTAAGGTTACGAGTTTAATTGTTAAGGTTACGGGTTTAATTGTTAAGGTTACGGGTTTAATTGTTAGGGTTACCTATCTAAAGATCCTCTTGGTACATCATGATAAAGAGAGAGAGAGAGAGAGAGAGAGAAATAATAAAATAATCATCATCATATTTTAATAAAAAAAGAAAGAGAGAGAGAATGGTATTATGGTCTTCACATGTTTTAATGTCTTGGGTTTTGTGTTTTGGGGGCTCAGAGAACAAAATCTTTATTTTTAGGGGTAAAACACTTATTGACCAAGTCTTGGGGGTGGGAAACACGTTCACTTGGCTTTTGGGGGCTGGAAGCATTTTTCCCTTTATTTTTTGGTTTAACAATTTTCAATACTCACCCAAATGGGTGTGTTGAGATTTGGATAGAGCTGAAACAAGATGGAACTTAATTTAGCACATTTTAGTATAGGCAACGTATCTAAGCAACTAATTTTTAATTATTAACTTCAACAAGTGAAGGGAAGAAAAAACTAGTTCCGTTTCTACAAAACAGAACACATACATTAACCGTAGTTGAGTTATGATATACAAAGCCCCCATGCCAAAATTATTCGAGTTCCTCTTTTTGAAAAACATTTCACATACAACAATACAATATTTCGGTCTGAAAAAAAAAATCAAAATTTAGATTTGAATCGATAGTACTTGTACCCTCAATAACTTCAGTAACAACATTAATGACCATATTATACTATAATTATATATAGAAATATAAAAAAAATATATAATATATATATAATTAAAAACCGGGTCGGGTTGTGTCTGGGTCGGGCTTCACCACCTCAACCCCGGACCCGGGCCCGGAGCCCGCCGGGCCTGGATTTTTCGGGCCCGGGCCGGGTCCGGACCCGAAGCCCATTTGGACACCTCTAATTACACCACTTGAGTTATCATTATTCATCATTAAAAGCAGAGGCTGAGAGCATGAGGCTGAGAGCAATGAGGGAAAGGGCCCAAAAAGTTTTGACTAGAGAGATGACCAAAGTTTTCATTTAATGACTTATTTAAATGCAAGTGCCAATGTTGGTGGAGCGAATGAGAGAAGTATTACAGTTGAAACAGGTAGACCAAATTAGACTATAGTTTAGATTAGATTTGACCATGTTCTGCTTTTATCTTTTTTATCTTTTTGTGTGTGTGTCGAGGAAGAGGAGAACCAACTCGATCTCTGGAGAAAATTATGCGTGTGATATTCCTCAATTCTAATAACAATGCAAGCTTGGTAGCTCAAGAAGTTGTTGCATGAACAAACATGCTTTATTCCACATAAAGTTCAGCAACAATTGGTGTTTTTTCACCTTAAAAAAGAAAAAAAGAAAAAGTTTTAAGTTCTTCATAATAAATATTCATCATTGTGTATTTATGTTAGCAAAACTAGCAGAGAGGTACCTGACTTTCATCTGAGGATCCAAACAAAATTTGACAAAAAATCGGAAGAATGGATAGGTAGAAAAATGAATACCCGAAAATGGAAGTCTTTTAAGCATGGGGGCAAAAAAAAAAATTTTAAATAATATTTTTTTGCCAAAAACTCCACCTTGATAGAATCTCATAAACTAATTAAAAGAAATTTGCTTGCCCCGTGAACATTGACAACACATACTTTTGAGCTAGTAACCCAAAAATCAAGACAACTATATATATATGTATCTTTCCATTTTATGTGTAGGATGAGTAGGATATATCATTTGTCAATCACACTTATTATTAGCTTTTACTCAAAACAAGCTCATAATCATTCACAAACCCTAACCAAATTAGGTCACCATGAAGAGACGAGAGAAGACAGCACTCGCCTCATGGCATCGAATCGTTGAGAAAGCAGTTAGAAGTCCGGCATCCCAAAAGCTTAAGCTGCTATTGTGGTAGATAAAAATGGGAAGCAACCTAGCTGCAGTCTTGCGCAAGCGCCGGGGACGTACTTCATAACTTACTAAAAAGTAAACGGTTTTTCTATAGAGTGCTCATGGGCACTCTATAAGAGAGGAGAGAGATAGAGAGAAATGAATGAGGAGGGGGTCTACTGATTTGCATTGGGATCCTCTTCTCATTCATTTTTCTCTCTCTCTCCTCTCTTATAGAGTGTCCATGGACACTCTATAGAAAAACCGAAAAGTAAAAATGTTACTTTCATTAATTTACTCAAATATTGTAGCACCTGCTGTTTATTTGATTGCCGTAGTTTACGGTTTAATCCCTAATTAATTGACTGATCAAGGTAACATGCATCAAGTAAGAAATATTCCTAGGATAATGAAGTATCAAATGGTTTAGCCAGCTAGGAGAGGACCTTGGTCCCTTCGCTTGTCAAGTTTTGTCCTAGGATGCCTTACTCATTTTAAGACAAAAGTTTGTATTTTGAATTTATTTTATTTATTTTTTTGTAAAGAGCTTCTTTTAAGTGTTATGGAGCAATATTTTTAATACCCTGGTTCATCTTGATGTTTTCGGCCTATGGGATGTTAAGTTTTTTTGGTAGGGATATACTATAGAGCAATTTAAATACAAACATGAATTTCATCTCTCACTCATAGCTTGACATAATGAATCATATCTTCAATTCAAAAAATAGACTAAAGAACATGTAAGGGATAATGCTTTACATTTTAATGAAGATGTGACTTGATCATCTACTATAAAAACATAGATTGGTGTGACATTGAAAACATGTAAGCAATTTTAGGTGGTTTTCGTCAAAAAAATGTAGGTGATAACCATCAATTTAGGCAAAAGTTTAGGTGGTTTTGACGGAAAAACCCATTTTTTAAGAGCTTCTTTTAAGTGTTATGGAGCAAAGTATTTGTAATACCCTGGTTCATCTTGATGTTTAAAGCCTATGGAATGTTAAGTTTTTTTTGGTAAGGATATACTATAGATCGAGCAATTTAAAGACAAACATGAATTTCATCTCTCACTCAATTTCATCTCTCACTCGTAGCTTGACATAATGAACGTATCTTCAATTTAAAAACTAGACTTAAGAACATGTAAGGGATAGCGCTTTACGTTTAATGAAGATGTGACCTGAATATCTGCTATGTAAAAGCATAAGATACCATATAAACTACTAACTTGTTTTTGTTAGAACATAAAAAATACAACCCTCATCACGACTTTTGAGTTTTGGTATAATTGTTAGGACTTTAAGATGATACCATAACAATCTAAGTTCAAATTTCACCGACCATAAGTTTAAAATGGATTTTCTTAAAAATTAAGATCGATGCGTGAGTCCGGCTTTTGGCCATAAAATAAGCTCAACCTATCCACAACTTTCAGTTTTTTTTTTTGTTGTGGGGTTTTAATAGTTAGGAACTTTAAGAATTCTCGCCCATCCATCTCATGTACTTCCATCTTTGCAAATCGATTAGTTTTTCACTATCGATGTAGTTAGCACTAGACCACTTCTTCACTTCCATAGTAAATACAAGAGATTCCTTAGTATTTTCTGCACAAACACTAGCTCAATTTAACATAGGAAAGCGCACTCTAATGGGCCTTTTGTTATCATTTCTATGGACAGAGACTCAGTCAAAGACTGCAATTCTTTCTGCAATTCTTTCTATGGACAGGCCCAAGGGCCTTTTGTTATCACCCCTCCTTTTGTTTTCAATGTTTTTCTTATCAAGTTCTACTACTATTAAGCCCATGAGTTGGTGCATGTGTTATTTACCGAGTTATATCTATCACCAAATCTATAATATGATGATTAATATTATTTATAAAAACTTCAGTGATAATTTTTTACTACTATTTATAGAGTGAATTCCCAAACTAGCTAACAAGATAATACATTAATCTGCAAGTTTTATCAATTTTCTATAATAGAATGTGGCAAAATTCGTTTATATTTTTAAAATATCTGATAAATGTTAAATACATCATTTGCAGAAAAAATATATAAATAGCGCTTTCAAGGTTAGAAAAAATATCACTTCAGCTCGAACTGTTGATAAAGACCAAAAAATTCACTTTAGTATATAGAGTAGGTTTAAGATTTAAAAATTATACTTTAGCATGAACAATATTTATAGGAAAAAAATTATTATTGCTCGAACAACATAGCTAATGCTGATAATATTACTGTAGCATGACTAACATTTGAATATTCTAATGATTATTCTGAATCATTCTGTACCAAGAGCTGTGTGAACAGTAATTTTAATATCCGTAATATGAATACTAATTTTGAGATTTTGCTTTTAAGTTAGAACTAGTAGATGCAACAAGTTTGGCAAATTTTGTCACTAATATTCTCAATGGTTAGTAACATATACTTGATGAAACCGTGAAACGGTTTTGGATTCTTTTATCAATTACTTGAACGCAACTTAACATTAAAATAAATAAATAAATAAATCAACAATTCTTGGCTCAGCAATTAACAAGACTTACAAAAAAGGGCAAAGTGATCCTGCGTTATAATGGCAACACTTAATCAACAATGAGAAGAAACATTCAACAATGAGAAGAAACATATATTAATACGTCAAAGAGTAATATCGAAACAAATTAGTAATTGGCTTCAATTTTACATGAAAAAACTATAACTTCAATTTTAATATCGTTTATTGCATACATATTATAAGTTACGTAAAAAAAATGATGGTAGGAAAGATTCAAAGTCCTCTCTTCTTGCTAACTCTATTTCCCCTTCTTTTCTCTACTCTATATACGAGAAATATTTATATACATTTTGATGTGAATACTTTCCCTATATGGCTATATGTAACATTTTCTTTTTCTTTTTTAAGAAGTACACAAAAATTTAGTGCATTTTGCCCCTTTACATAAGGCCAAAGAATTAGAAGTACTCCTTGTGGAAGTGAAATCTTGTTGAAGTCTTGTGGCTCATCTCATGGGATAAACTTCTCAATTCCTTGGCTAATACTGGAGTTCCACAATAGAATACACCTGCATTTATAGTTGTAAAAATATTAATCCATTATATTGACTTTACATTACATTTGGGAGAAATTATAGTGGTTTTTTTCCAATTAATGCACTACATTAGACACAACGATACTTATATATCAAATGAATCGTAATCATTCTAATTATAAATGGAGGGTTTCCAATTTCATTTAGGAAAGGTAGAATTGCCTCACCTACAGTGCCGCCTCGATGCTTTGAAGCTATTTTCATGAAAACTTCCCTCCAATTGGGCCTTGCAAAATGTGTTCTAACCTGTAAATAACAACAAAATATGTCAGTTTTTCATTAGATAAATTGAATTCATAATCTACAATCTCGTGTGCCTATGACTAAGAGGGAGAAAAATTTTCCCCCTCTATTGACGTAGTTTGCTAGTTTGAGCAAGTAATATGTTCACTATTAATGTTCTATGCATTAATTTCCACAGATTTTACAGAAGTACATGTTATAGAGAATGAACATTCCAATCAATTTCAGCATAGATATGGGTTAGATTTGGAATATGACTGAATAAGTTTTCTATCTCTTTTCTCGGGAAAGTCAATAATTTTAGTATTAAAGGAATATTGATTGGGATCAATCTTATTTATTTTATTGAATGGCCCTTACATATCAATGAATTACTCAAAACATCTAAAACATGAAGAATCTTCATAATATAGTACCCGAGTGCCAGAGACTATATCGTAGCCATTCTTGGCATGATTGAGAGCTTGCACCATGGTGAGAAGAGTGGTCCTCGCATCTCCCTCCTCGTAGACACTTGTTAGGTAATTATGCATCTCTATAACTCCCTGATTTAAGCAATAAACAATAACCATCAATTTTCCTAGTTTAACTCATTCAAATATATTAACAGCCAATAGTTTAAACAGAGGTCAGAATTATTACCTTTCTATCCATTTCTGCAACTTCATTCATAACACCTTTGAACCACTCAAATGACCCAGGCTCTCTTGTAACCCAGTAGAAATGAGCACTGGCAGTTCTATGTGGTCTCTTCTTGCTAACACTACCTGGCGTCGAAAAGCCAAAGCTACTGCTTGTGCTGTCATCTGATCTGCTAGTCTCTGTAGTCATCTCCTAATAGTTCAATATACGAACACAACGTAAGAGGCCAAAAAAACTGTATTACGGAGAAAAAGGGTAAATTTCACAAAACTACCATAAACTTTCTTTATTAAAGAAAACTACCATGAACTTTTCACTAAACCACCGTGCGTTAGTGAAAACATGTTTTCACGTGTTTTGCATGTGATGTTTCTCGGATAATTTTGCCCTTATACTTTATATAGCTTACATATTACCCTTATAAACTTTGTTAGTTGCTAGATATAAATAAGAGACGTAGTAACAATTTTCATTAGTTCATGGTATTTTCCACAATTTTGAAATTTCATGGTAGTTTTGTGCAAAATACCCCAAAGTTCATGATAGCTTGTGAAAATTACAAAAAGTAAACATTATTATACTATAATTATATATAGAAATATAAAAAAAATATATAATATATATATAATTAAAAACCGGGTCGGGTTGTGTCTGGGTCGGGCTTCACCACCTCAACCCCGGACCCGGGCCCGGAGCCCGCCGGGCCTGGATTTTTCGGGCCCGGGCCGGGTCCGGACCCGAAGCCCATTTGGACACCTCTAATTACACCACTTGAGTTATCATTATTCATCATTAAAAGCAGAGGCTGAGAGCATGAGGCTGAGAGCAATGAGGGAAAGGGCCCAAAAAGTTTTGACTAGAGAGATGACCAAAGTTTTCATTTAATGACTTATTTAAATGCAAGTGCCAATGTTGGTGGAGCGAATGAGAGAAGTATTACAGTTGAAACAGGTAGACCAAATTAGACTATAGTTTAGATTAGATTTGACCATGTTCTGCTTTTATCTTTTTTATCTTTTTGTGTGTGTGTCGAGGAAGAGGAGAACCAACTCGATCTCTGGAGAAAATTATGCGTGTGATATTCCTCAATTCTAATAACAATGCAAGCTTGGTAGCTCAAGAAGTTGTTGCATGAACAAACATGCTTTATTCCACATAAAGTTCAGCAACAATTGGTGTTTTTTCACCTTAAAAAAGAAAAAAAGAAAAAGTTTTAAGTTCTTCATAATAAATATTCATCATTGTGTATTTATGTTAGCAAAACTAGCAGAGAGGTACCTGACTTTCATCTGAGGATCCAAACAAAATTTGACAAAAAATCGGAAGAATGGATAGGTAGAAAAATGAATACCCGAAAATGGAAGTCTTTTAAGCATGGGGGCAAAAAAAAAAATTTTAAATAATATTTTTTTGCCAAAAACTCCACCTTGATAGAATCTCATAAACTAATTAAAAGAAATTTGCTTGCCCCGTGAACATTGACAACACATACTTTTGAGCTAGTAACCCAAAAATCAAGACAACTATATATATATGTATCTTTCCATTTTATGTGTAGGATGAGTAGGATATATCATTTGTCAATCACACTTATTATTAGCTTTTACTCAAAACAAGCTCATAATCATTCACAAACCCTAACCAAATTAGGTCACCATGAAGAGACGAGAGAAGACAGCACTCGCCTCATGGCATCGAATCGTTGAGAAAGCAGTTAGAAGTCCGGCATCCCAAAAGCTTAAGCTGCTATTGTGGTAGATAAAAATGGGAAGCAACCTAGCTGCAGTCTTGCGCAAGCGCCGGGGACGTACTTCATAACTTACTAAAAAGTAAACGGTTTTTCTATAGAGTGCTCATGGGCACTCTATAAGAGAGGAGAGAGATAGAGAGAAATGAATGAGGAGGGGGTCTACTGATTTGCATTGGGATCCTCTTCTCATTCATTTTTCTCTCTCTCTCCTCTCTTATAGAGTGTCCATGGACACTCTATAGAAAAACCGAAAAGTAAAAATGTTACTTTCATTAATTTACTCAAATATTGTAGCACCTGCTGTTTATTTGATTGCCGTAGTTTACGGTTTAATCCCTAATTAATTGACTGATCAAGGTAACATGCATCAAGTAAGAAATATTCCTAGGATAATGAAGTATCAAATGGTTTAGCCAGCTAGGAGAGGACCTTGGTCCCTTCGCTTGTCAAGTTTTGTCCTAGGATGCCTTACTCATTTTAAGACAAAAGTTTGTATTTTGAATTTATTTTATTTATTTTTTTGTAAAGAGCTTCTTTTAAGTGTTATGGAGCAATATTTTTAATACCCTGGTTCATCTTGATGTTTTCGGCCTATGGGATGTTAAGTTTTTTTGGTAGGGATATACTATAGAGCAATTTAAATACAAACATGAATTTCATCTCTCACTCATAGCTTGACATAATGAATCATATCTTCAATTCAAAAAATAGACTAAAGAACATGTAAGGGATAATGCTTTACATTTTAATGAAGATGTGACTTGATCATCTACTATAAAAACATAGATTGGTGTGACATTGAAAACATGTAAGCAATTTTAGGTGGTTTTCGTCAAAAAAATGTAGGTGATAACCATCAATTTAGGCAAAAGTTTAGGTGGTTTTGACGGAAAAACCCATTTTTTAAGAGCTTCTTTTAAGTGTTATGGAGCAAAGTATTTGTAATACCCTGGTTCATCTTGATGTTTAAAGCCTATGGAATGTTAAGTTTTTTTTGGTAAGGATATACTATAGATCGAGCAATTTAAAGACAAACATGAATTTCATCTCTCACTCAATTTCATCTCTCACTCGTAGCTTGACATAATGAACGTATCTTCAATTTAAAAACTAGACTTAAGAACATGTAAGGGATAGCGCTTTACGTTTAATGAAGATGTGACCTGAATATCTGCTATGTAAAAGCATAAGATACCATATAAACTACTAACTTGTTTTTGTTAGAACATAAAAAATACAACCCTCATCACGACTTTTGAGTTTTGGTATAATTGTTAGGACTTTAAGATGATACCATAACAATCTAAGTTCAAATTTCACCGACCATAAGTTTAAAATGGATTTTCTTAAAAATTAAGATCGATGCGTGAGTCCGGCTTTTGGCCATAAAATAAGCTCAACCTATCCACAACTTTCAGTTTTTTTTTTTGTTGTGGGGTTTTAATAGTTAGGAACTTTAAGAATTCTCGCCCATCCATCTCATGTACTTCCATCTTTGCAAATCGATTAGTTTTTCACTATCGATGTAGTTAGCACTAGACCACTTCTTCACTTCCATAGTAAATACAAGAGATTCCTTAGTATTTTCTGCACAAACACTAGCTCAATTTAACATAGGAAAGCGCACTCTAATGGGCCTTTTGTTATCATTTCTATGGACAGAGACTCAGTCAAAGACTGCAATTCTTTCTGCAATTCTTTCTATGGACAGGCCCAAGGGCCTTTTGTTATCACCCCTCCTTTTGTTTTCAATGTTTTTCTTATCAAGTTCTACTACTATTAAGCCCATGAGTTGGTGCATGTGTTATTTACCGAGTTATATCTATCACCAAATCTATAATATGATGATTAATATTATTTATAAAAACTTCAGTGATAATTTTTTACTACTATTTATAGAGTGAATTCCCAAACTAGCTAACAAGATAATACATTAATCTGCAAGTTTTATCAATTTTCTATAATAGAATGTGGCAAAATTCGTTTATATTTTTAAAATATCTGATAAATGTTAAATACATCATTTGCAGAAAAAATATATAAATAGCGCTTTCAAGGTTAGAAAAAATATCACTTCAGCTCGAACTGTTGATAAAGACCAAAAAATTCACTTTAGTATATAGAGTAGGTTTAAGATTTAAAAATTATACTTTAGCATGAACAATATTTATAGGAAAAAAATTATTATTGCTCGAACAACATAGCTAATGCTGATAATATTACTGTAGCATGACTAACATTTGAATATTCTAATGATTATTCTGAATCATTCTGTACCAAGAGCTGTGTGAACAGTAATTTTAATATCCGTAATATGAATACTAATTTTGAGATTTTGCTTTTAAGTTAGAACTAGTAGATGCAACAAGTTTGGCAAATTTTGTCACTAATATTCTCAATGGTTAGTAACATATACTTGATGAAACCGTGAAACGGTTTTGGATTCTTTTATCAATTACTTGAACGCAACTTAACATTAAAATAAATAAATAAATAAATCAACAATTCTTGGCTCAGCAATTAACAAGACTTACAAAAAAGGGCAAAGTGATCCTGCGTTATAATGGCAACACTTAATCAACAATGAGAAGAAACATTCAACAATGAGAAGAAACATATATTAATACGTCAAAGAGTAATATCGAAACAAATTAGTAATTGGCTTCAATTTTACATGAAAAAACTATAACTTCAATTTTAATATCGTTTATTGCATACATATTATAAGTTACGTAAAAAAAATGATGGTAGGAAAGATTCAAAGTCCTCTCTTCTTGCTAACTCTATTTCCCCTTCTTTTCTCTACTCTATATACGAGAAATATTTATATACATTTTGATGTGAATACTTTCCCTATATGGCTATATGTAACATTTTCTTTTTCTTTTTTAAGAAGTACACAAAAATTTAGTGCATTTTGCCCCTTTACATAAGGCCAAAGAATTAGAAGTACTCCTTGTGGAAGTGAAATCTTGTTGAAGTCTTGTGGCTCATCTCATGGGATAAACTTCTCAATTCCTTGGCTAATACTGGAGTTCCACAATAGAATACACCTGCATTTATAGTTGTAAAAATATTAATCCATTATATTGACTTTACATTACATTTGGGAGAAATTATAGTGGTTTTTTTCCAATTAATGCACTACATTAGACACAACGATACTTATATATCAAATGAATCGTAATCATTCTAATTATAAATGGAGGGTTTCCAATTTCATTTAGGAAAGGTAGAATTGCCTCACCTACAGTGCCGCCTCGATGCTTTGAAGCTATTTTCATGAAAACTTCCCTCCAATTGGGCCTTGCAAAATGTGTTCTAACCTGTAAATAACAACAAAATATGTCAGTTTTTCATTAGATAAATTGAATTCATAATCTACAATCTCGTGTGCCTATGACTAAGAGGGAGAAAAATTTTCCCCCTCTATTGACGTAGTTTGCTAGTTTGAGCAAGTAATATGTTCACTATTAATGTTCTATGCATTAATTTCCACAGATTTTACAGAAGTACATGTTATAGAGAATGAACATTCCAATCAATTTCAGCATAGATATGGGTTAGATTTGGAATATGACTGAATAAGTTTTCTATCTCTTTTCTCGGGAAAGTCAATAATTTTAGTATTAAAGGAATATTGATTGGGATCAATCTTATTTATTTTATTGAATGGCCCTTACATATCAATGAATTACTCAAAACATCTAAAACATGAAGAATCTTCATAATATAGTACCCGAGTGCCAGAGACTATATCGTAGCCATTCTTGGCATGATTGAGAGCTTGCACCATGGTGAGAAGAGTGGTCCTCGCATCTCCCTCCTCGTAGACACTTGTTAGGTAATTATGCATCTCTATAACTCCCTGATTTAAGCAATAAACAATAACCATCAATTTTCCTAGTTTAACTCATTCAAATATATTAACAGCCAATAGTTTAAACAGAGGTCAGAATTATTACCTTTCTATCCATTTCTGCAACTTCATTCATAACACCTTTGAACCACTCAAATGACCCAGGCTCTCTTGTAACCCAGTAGAAATGAGCACTGGCAGTTCTATGTGGTCTCTTCTTGCTAACACTACCTGGCGTCGAAAAGCCAAAGCTACTGCTTGTGCTGTCATCTGATCTGCTAGTCTCTGTAGTCATCTCCTAATAGTTCAATATACGAACACAACGTAAGAGGCCAAAAAAACTGTATTACGGAGAAAAAGGGTAAATTTCACAAAACTACCATAAACTTTCTTTATTAAAGAAAACTACCATGAACTTTTCACTAAACCACCGTGCGTTAGTGAAAACATGTTTTCACGTGTTTTGCATGTGATGTTTCTCGGATAATTTTGCCCTTATACTTTATATAGCTTACATATTACCCTTATAAACTTTGTTAGTTGCTAGATATAAATAAGAGACGTAGTAACAATTTTCATTAGTTCATGGTATTTTCCACAATTTTGAAATTTCATGGTAGTTTTGTGCAAAATACCCCAAAGTTCATGATAGCTTGTGAAAATTACAAAAAGTAAACATGGACATGAGAAATGTGTAAATCTTACCAAGAGTTCATCTACCAATTTGATGTTGTTGAGAAGGTCTCTGAGAATGCTTATAAAAGGAGTAGCGCCAATACCTAGCCCCACCAGAAGTAGAACATCATAGTTTCGAAAGTCTTGGGCTGGTGACCCATATGGTCCATCAACAAGCAATCTCGGCAAGCTACATGAAATTAAATAGATTAATTGATGTGATCATGTACAGAAAATTGTTTGAGCTAGTTCAAGATATAGAAAATTGATTAAAGACTATTCATGTAAAAATATTTATACTCTATTAAGTACAAATCAGTTTATGGAAACAGGACACTAATGTTACACTACATTCTCAACTCATTTTCATTATTAAGTTATGACTTTAAATTACCGCAAAATTAACTTTATGAGAAATGTAAATCTAGAGTCATATGCTTACCTTTTGTGACCCGATGATCCCACTTCATTTAATTTGGCTCTCCCGGAAGTAAAGTAGTGCTCTGTAAAAATCCGCTTGAGCTCCTGAGTCCAGTCCCCCGTAGTTCTTATGTGAACACTAAGATATTCATCACCAGGTGCTGAGGTGATGGAGAAGGGGTGCCTGTTGGTTTTGACATGGAGGATGGTAACAAGTTCAGTTTATTGCTATGTGAGAGCCAAAATATAAGAGTGCTAGGCGTATAATTATACAAATCCAAGTGAAATTGTGGATCTATTTTAAACCCAATGATTGGTGATGCTTAATCCAGTTCCCTCGCCTTTTTGGCACGGTCAAGTGTATCAATCATTGGGATTATTTGGGGTATCCGGTTGAGCATGTGAGATGGGATCACAAAAAGAGATAGGAGACTTGGTGGGATCTCTCATTTAATTCCTAGAATCTCTTTATGACAATTATATTCATTCTAATGAATCGTCATAGTGATGCTACATGGATATAGGCCAAATTCGATCAGCCAAATCACTTTATGTTACTCTTCTTGGTTTTACTTTCTTATTTGCTTGAGTAATGGATCTTCATCCCAAATAGACCCTCTAGAAAACAAGAGAATTGTGGCATTAAGAAATACATAAATGGAAGAGAGCAAACCATTCAAATGGAGATACTGCTGGGCATTGCAGGAATATATACTGGCCACTCCTATAACGAAATCCATGTGGCTTGGACATGACCAATGTTAAAACGCTTCCAGGTAGTAAAGAAACCTGAATGGAAATAAAAGAGATTAAGACAGAGTTAACTTGGCTTAGTTGATGTTAGATCATTTGTCCTGAAGAGCACATATAAAGTCTATTACTACAGTTTAGCCATCTTATAACATTAATTCATAGTCGCCAGGTTCTTGATGAACTGTCCTTTTTGGCACCTGACACTTTCTTCTTCCCTCGGGTTAAAAATGTGAAAATGAATGGCTTGGCTCTAGTTTCTAAAGTGATTTGCGGAATTGATGCAATAAATTGACAGAGTTACTTTCGCTTTAATATCTTAACCTTGTAACTATTTTATAAATGAGTACATAAAGGAGAGGTTGGACGCTTTTGTTAAATTCTTAAAAAAGATTCAGAAAGTACCTTCATTATCTTAACGGAATAAGCATTGGAACGGAAAGCCCTGAGAGTCCTCTCACCTATGTAGAGCAGCAACGGAACAGAGATATACATCCACGTCTGAAAAAAAAAACCAAGATATTTCACATCCTTAGTTTTCTAATGACATACTATTGCAATCTAGAAATAGAGCTGAGGAATTTCACCTCATAGTTTTATTAGTTTCTGTTGGATGATTTGTTCATGAAAAGGCAATTTTGCCTTTGTGAATAGTCCCACATTGAAAAATGAGATGAATAGTAGAGGGTATATAATGGTTCTCTCCTTATTGGGCTTTGAATAGTGTTTTGGGTTTTGTGGGCTTTGCATATCTATCTCTCACACGCACGCCTCGCTGCACACGCACACATTTTTTGCTTCTCAAGCTTTTATTTTTGCACGTTTTACACGTTTTGTAACGGCTGCATGCGGGTAACGGAAGCAAGATTTGTGCGTAACGATCCCTTGGATTCAGCGGGGGTTACACTTCTCATCACCTATATAAGCAGACTTGGAGCTCATTCAGAGACACACCAACGAAGAGAAGAACAACTTCTAAGCTCTCTTCTTTCTCTACTCTCATTTCTCCAAGAAATTTCGGCTACATATTTACATTTATATTTTGGGCAACCGTTTTCGTCTGAGCATAAGCTTTGTGACTCACGCCCGAGTGCAGAGGCTGGCCGATTCCAGGGGTTTTTACCGTTAGAGGAGAGGGGACAGATTACGCCAGGACGATAGACGGGTCCTCAATCTTCTAGGGCAGTGACATCACGACTGCTCCCGATCAGGCCTGAATTTTCTAACTCTTTAATTTGGATTTTATATTATTATATTCCTGTTTTGACAGCAGTTTCAACTCATTTTCCATTAATCCTATAGGTGACATTTACTGCACAACCCATTTGCTTTGAAACTTCGATCATCTCTATAAGCATACTCTTTCCTAAATAATTTGATGTTATGCAATACATCATAGAATTCAACTACTTCCCTTACAAGAATCAAGTTGCGTTGAAATAATCTCTTAACATGTCAAAGGTTTGTTAAGAGACCTATTCTCAACTGCTACCTTCAATTGTATAAAATATCTATTAAGGAATGTGTTTGAGACAACTAAGACACTCGTACCTGTATAGAGGTTATCTAATTCCATAAATTATCCCGGAGTCAGGGACTGCTACCTGCCAGTTTGGTAGCGTAGGTTTTTCTGTTTCAATATATAGTATCAAAGTCTTTCATCGAACGTTATGTTATTCTCTTACATCACTCGGTATATTTAAAGAGTGTTAACTGAGAGATTAGGTTTCAAATACAATTCTTTAATCAAAATAATCTTGACTTAGTCTCTAAAATATAAGTAGTCTGATGAGTTGTGGTCATTGTCCTTGAGAACTGATGTACATCTTTTCTAAAATTTCTACCAGAAGGAAAAAGCTAGGAAATGTCTGTATTATAACAAGGAACATATGCTAAATTCTTAAATGAGTAAAGAAATTTGGTGGATTAGATGTAATAGTCTACATAACTATTTTGGACACATATGTTGATTGTGTGGAACTCTTGCTTTCTGTCCAAGAGTAGGCATGAGAAAACTATAAGATAAATAGCAGTTAAGAGTTTCCGAAAGAAAGAGACCATCAGTAAAGAACCATTATAGAAGTTAACTGAGCTTTCTGTGATTATGAAACCTACAAAAGAATACGCTTCCATATGAAAGGGACAAAGTTAAACAGTGTTCTGAAATTTGAAGTGAACAAAATAAATATTCAGAAACATGAATTATTAGACTGTTTTACAAGTTTTTCTTTTTGCTACCTTGTTTCAGCTTCTGTCAACCCCGCCTCCCCTCTTTGTCAGTTAAACATAATTGAGGCACTTGAAAATTAAAATATAACTGTTTTTGAATCAAATATTATGTTGCGTGTGCTCTAATGCTTTAAAAGAATCCGTAAGTTACTCCAGCATGAATGACAAAAAGGATAATTTGGATAATATCAATAATAGTAACTGGTTTCTAAGGGTAAATTAGTGCAGGGAAATATTATGGAAAGAAAACAGAAAGAAATCTAATATCTCGTGGGCAAATTTTGAAAACCATCCTATTTGAGAAAATAATTGCAAAAATTGACCCATTCACAAAATATTTATGAGAATCGACCTAGTTTTAGCCGTCGGGCTGAAACTGGGTCGGTTTTGAAGAAAAATTTTCCGAAACTTCACGGGACTTCAAGTCCCATGAAGTTTTTGTACATAACAAAACTTCACCGGACTTGAAGTCCCATGAAATTTCGAAACATATTTTGTCAAAACCGACTCAGTTTCAGCCAGACGCCACTAGGTCGGTTTTGACAATTTTTTTTTGGAATAGGTCGAAATTTGTGATTTTTTTGTAAATAGGATGGTTTCAAAATTTGTCCAATATCTTGCACAAGAATGTCGTATTCTAGTGTACTAACGAGTAACGCCTTATCTCCCGAAAGATTTACTTTTAACATTGAATATTTTTTCTGTAGATTCCTTTATTCTCTATATTGCGTTGACACACTCAATGACAATTGCCTATTACTTAATGGATGATTGTTTTATTTTAGAGTTTTTTGCAGACATACCCTTTGCTATCATATTTGTAGATTTACCCTCCACATATTCATATTTGCTAATTTTGTTAGAATATAAACCTATAAGCCTCACCACAACTTTGGATTTATTGTGTAGTGGTAGTGGTAGGGACTTAAAGATATTCACCCACACATTCTCCTACGTTGATTATTCATACCCCTCTCATTTAACAACGTTACAGCTCAGAGGGCTAAATTAGCAAATATGCAGATTTGGGGTCTAATTCTGCCAAAAAAGTAGTTCTTGGGCGCATATGGGCAAAAAAAAAAAAAACCCCTTATTTTATTTAGGGAGAGAGTGGGTATAGAGTAGTTTTGTCATTTTACCCCTTCTCAGTTAAAAATTTAAACGGTTTTAAAGGAGACAGTATTTTAACTCGATGTCAAAGGATATATTGGGAAATATTAAGATTTTAGCGGTAAGTATGCAAATTAATAAGATAGACATGCGAGTCCCTTTTCATTTTTTATAGAAACATAGGAACATATGCAATCCAAAAGGGTATAATGGTGGTGCCTAGCTACATATATAAACAGACTAAATCTTAACTTATATAATAGTCAACGATAGTAATGCAGATATGCTCTTCATTTCTTAATTTACTCATACCGCATGTTAACCACTAAAATAGTAATCTAAAGCAAACATTAATCTTACCGTCCTCTGATACCATCTGTGGACAAGAAACATGTAGTAGCCATGAACCACAAGGAGCCCATACACAACAGCGAGCAAATGGTGCGAGTACCAGAACGCATTGAACCCGGTAAGCTTGTTCAGAGGGCGCGGTAACCTCACCCCGTTCTTGCGGAACTTGTGGGTCGCCAGCGTGAAGGAGACGCACATTAGGATCACCATCGCGATCCCGGTAGCCCCCTCGATGCCGGAGAGGAGGCCGCTGTACGTTGGTTTGGTTGAGCCGAAGTCGCGGGTGATGAGGGTGTATTTCTCCGGCGGCGACCGGACCACGCGAGGGAAGTCGCAGGCGAGGTGGGTCCCGGCGTGGACTAGGATGGCCATGACTATAGCCGTTGCGATCATCTGGCAGGGAATGGAATGAAAGGTAGGGAGGTGAGCTCACCGGTTGGTGACCGAATCAAGATAAAAAGTTGAAAAAAACAAGTCCCTATAAAACTCTTTGCGAATTTTAGTCTTCGTCACCTTTCCTGTTACTGAGTTTTGTCTAGACGGTTAAAACTCAAAACGGTCTCGGGTTTTAATTAGTTTTACTATGCCTTTCGCAGTTGTTTCCTGCAAAATACTCCTATTAGTCAGGGTTCATTTCTTCTTTTGTATTCGCTTGTGCCATACATACTTTTTTCCAGCTATTTTTACTATTAATAGATGTGACATCTAGGGATCCACCATTAGCTGACCAAATAAAATAAAATCTAATTAGTTACAGCTGAACTTTACAAGATAATCAAAATTACAAAAAAAATAGAGTAACTTTTTAACATGGAAAAAGAAGGGTGTAGTTTAGAAAAATGTCTAACAGATGTTATGGGACTCATTATATCATTTCAATGAATTCTATTCATTAGAGTATTAATCCTCGATCAATACAAAATATGAAGATTTGAAAATATGTACATTAAATTAATCCAAAATTTCGTACTTTCATGGTTATTAATATGTCATTAGCTTTTAATTAAATTTAATAATTTTCCTAGGCGCGTCAGCTGATCTTGACACAACAACTAACAGCTCAGCAAATCATTAGTCTCTGACTCGTAAAATAATTAGACAACTGAAGAACTGAACTATACAAATCCTAAAAGCGTGTATCGTATCTTGCGCAATCATTCCCTAGGACGATAAGGTATGTTACTTGCAGCAGGCTCACGACCGATTTTTAACCGAGTTTTGCTACAGAGACCCAAAATATGGAACCAATTTGGGGGACAAGTGAGGTGTCCTTTTCCTATTGGATAATGAGTTGGTCATCATTAATGATGACCGACTCATTATCCAATAGGAATGAGACACTTCACTTGTCCCCCTATTAGTCCCATATTTTGGGTACTTGAAGAATTTTTCTTTTTAACCAGTCACGTCATCATGAAGAGCCTGTTGCCTGCAAGGGACCAGACAGCTACCATTCCCGACATTAGAGAATTGACGCTGCATGCCCGCCACCTAACGGGCGAAGCTTGAGCCCGTACTATGCCACTGAGATCGTGACACGTAATCTAACAGCAAAAGCTGTATCCTATTCGACTTCTCACAGCAGCAAAAGCTACAGAGACGACCCTGTGGAAAGGTGAATTATTTTGGTCCAGACATCGAGTACCTTTTGTTTTTTTTGGTAATTTTTACTAATTTTTATATTATTTGCACTAAGTATTCTGCTCGTTTACATATTTTATTGTTGTCACCTTTACATGGTTTAGAAAGTGATGGTGGTCCATGCGTATCACATTCTTTCTTCTCGTTATATCATTATATCTATAAAAGTTTCACTATAATGCTTTTAGGGTAGCGTTGGCTAGGCTATAAACTACGTGCTTTTGTGCTTTAATTCGTAATAACAAAGACCATTTTTGGGTGAAATATCATGCAAATTTTGAAGTATATTGTTATAGTGAAAAGATCATGCTTTATCATACTTATTGATTATCTAGTGGATAAGATTTTTCCTTACCTGCAAACTATGAATGAGCAGAATTTATGGAGAAGAGGTGAACGTTAGAGTTAAAATAAATTAGGATTAAAAATAATAATAATACTCCCGAAGTACTAAATGTCATTTCCGTAAAATAAGCGAACCTTGTGGAAGTTGATGTTATCGTCAAACGGCACGAAGAGCCTCGCACGTGTAGACCTAAGCCACGTGAGCGTATTCCTACAAACAGGCAACAGCACGAGCGCCATGTTAAGCTTCAGCGTCTCGGCCGCTCCCTTCGCCGTCGGCAGGCAATACCCCATCACGTGCCAAGCAGCACGCTGGCGGTACTGAACGAATTTCCAGGCGAAGAGAGCTGCCATGGAGGCGACCCACAGTAGGATGACCCATATCCTGCGCCAGTTCTCTTCAAGCCAGAGTTTGGTGCGTGCTAAAGTGCGCCGGAGGGGTAGGACCCGGCGGAGCGGGGGGCGGCTGTAGTTCATGTAGGTGTCTCTTTGGAGGAGTAAGGCTTCCAGCTGCCATAACTGCTCCCAAAAAAGTAAACAGAAAATAGAAAAGTTAAATTACTGTTATGCCCTTCGATTTGCTTTGCTAAAACTTTATTTGTTTTTAAAGGTTAAATTTTAGAAGGTTTTGTAAACATAACCTTTATTTGTATTTCTACGTATTTTTTGGGAGGGGGTGGGGGTATCTTAAAGAAAGAGTACTTGATAAATATAAGTTACTATACGTAAAATCAAAAGTGAAAAAAATTTAAAATGGCTAATTTTATTTTAGAGACAAAATAATGGACAGGTGTTTCTTCGATCAAAATTGAATATTCAATATTCGACTTGTCATGAATGAAAGCCAAAGCAATTGCGATTTAAATATTTTAAGCAATTATTTTATCAAAAAATTTATAATAACTGTACATATTAATTTTATTGCTATTTGAAAACGATCTCTACTATAATATCAAAAGAGAGAGAGAGAGAGAATTTTCAAATTAGAATAAGAATCATTTGGATATAAACATGAACAAAAAGTCTCACTAAATATTGACAAATTTTAATTACTCCAAGTACCAACTCGAATTAGATAATAACAACAAACTTCTTTAATTATCAGGTGAGCATAACGTGTAACCCAACCAACACCGCCTTTTTTATGGGCATTATTGAAGATGGGAAGCCTAACAACATAAGCTCAATAGTCTATTTTTCATATCTACCAAAATTTTAATGATTTCGTTTAGCAACAATTCCAAGGTAAGTGAACAAATAACACCAGGCACGTACGCATCGAGTAGAACCTCTAGGCTAGCAACGTGTCAGCACTAAGTGGCAGTAATGTAAATTAGAGATAATTGAGGGGGGGTGAAAGGAGACTAAGCTCACTTCGATGTAACCAAGGTTCTCGGGATCGAGTTCCTCCATGATCAACGCAGCGTACTCCTCCGCCTGCTCCTTCAACTTCGACAATTTGTTCGCCGACGCGCTCAAACCTATCAACTGAACCCAAAAAAATCATCAATATTACACAACCAGGACATAAACATTCGCACAATTGACAATTTTTATCCACTCACCTCTTGTACTTCCTCTCTCGTAATTCTCCCGTCCTCATTAGTATCCACCCTAAAACAAATTTTATAAATTATCCATTTTGTAAATTAATGTTTTGCAAAAAAAAAAAAAAGAAGAAGCATTTGTCCTTACATGTCAAAGAAAATTTGCAATCTCGCATCGAAGCTCTGATCAGAAATTTGCACCCAGAAGTCGTGCATCTCCTCTTTCGTAATTCTCTCCAAACTCTGCCGCCGCCGCCTTGCTAATGCATCAAAAATCCCGCTCGCAAACTCCTTCGAGTCCACCATCCCTGCAAATTTAAAAATCAACGGGCGGTGACCACACCGCAAAAAGTAAAAAGTAAAAAATTTTAAAAAAAAAAGATACAGAAATGACAAACCTATACACTCCCCAAAATCTTCTCTCGAAAGCAGCCCATCCTTCGCTAACGAATCGAACCGCTGCTCGACCGGCCGCCAAAGCTTCCGTCGACTCAACCGAAACCGGTTGGCGGCGATTTAATGACCGCAAACCTCGTTTAGCGCAGCGAAGAGTGCTCCGGAATGCGGGTGCGCGACTGGCGGCCTGCGCCCGGAAATCCAGCCTCGCCGTCTCTCGGCGCCAGATTAGTCGACGAATCCTCCGCCGATCGCCTCGGCGTCGACGACGGCGACGTCGACGAGATCAGCCACCCGAACTTTCGTCGGATCTTCTTCGAACCGTTCGATGAGCTCCGGCTGAGGCTCCGACCGTGATCCGAGACCGACGCCGGTTCATGCGTCGGAGTGACGCTGCGGACCGCCATCGACTCCTCGTCGATTTCGAGCA